GATTTATGATTTTTATAAAAGCATTATGGGTATAAAAATGTAGGCTAAAAATTAAAGGTAAAATTATTCAAAACAGCCTAAAGGTAAAGTTGTAGTACACGTCGATGCCTTCACGTGGGTATAAGAAATGTTGAAAACAGAGTTCGTATGTGGGAGTTACGGAATTTAGAAAACCAATTTGCACCACAGGTGCACGTTTATGCGTCATGCGCGATGCGCGTTCTGACGCCTTGACTCATCAGAATACGGATGATGTGGCACTATGAGAGGAGGACACGTGTCAGCTCCCTGATGGAGCCATGCGCACACGCACATCGCGTAGCGCACGACACGCGCTTCAAAACTTCTTATAAATAGGAGGTGCGGCAAAGCATTCATGCACGCCTCAAAAACTTCCAATTCTCTCTCTAGTTGATTTCTCCCTGTCCTGAGCAGTCTCCGAGTTTCCGATCCCCAACACTACACTACTTTAGCAGTTCATGCTTCGAGGGTGAGTTTACGACCCCACTTTTACGATTTTGCAAATGTTTTCATCGGAATGCATGTGATAATACTATAGTGCTAATTTTAATTATTGCTAATTGTATAATATTAGTGATATAATTATGTCTATAAAATGTTAGGATAATATTACGTCTGGTAGATAAGCTGCTCGGCCTTCAAAAGATAATATTAAACCCAGTCGTTACGTTCATCCACTCACTAGGAAAATTTTATACCCAATCGTTACTCTAGTCAACTTTTAGAGATAACATCATACACAGTCGTTATGATGGCTAACTCACTAGGAAAGCATTATACCTAGTCATTACCTTGGCAAACTTTTGGGATAACATTGTGCTTAGTGGGTACTATGCCTGAATATCCTATCGGTATAAAGTATACTAACTTAATATATAACAAAATATATATTAAGTACAACTAAAGATAACAAAAGAATATCGAGGTACACAATACGGCTACACGATAACAGTTGATAAATGAGACATTGATCATCCTTTAGCTAAATGACATTTAGCTAACCCCGATCTATACTCGTTAAATCTTAACTGAGAGGGAGAGGTATGTATAGATCTATACGGTGCTGACACCCCCACCTACGGTTGCTAGCTATAACCTTGACGATCGAGTCACAACTAGCATAACTTTCTAAACTTTGGTCACGTCCGATGAAGTGTCGTCTCGAGGAGATTCAACGTCATAAGCTCAATTATAGGAATTCGTTGTAACATTGTTTAGCCATAACTAACATGACTACTTGAAAAGGGGAAACCTAAGAAGTAGATAAAACATACACTAACTCAAGGAAGCGAGTAAAGCAAGTTAATAGTACCTATAAACTATAATATACAGTAAAAACTACACAAAACTTTTTAAAGCATAAAAACTTGTGAACTCGCCAACATTATGTTGACCTTTCAAAACCACATGTATTCTCAGGAGAATTAGTACCAGAAGTGAAAAGCGTTTTCGGGAAATCATCAAGAGTATTGTTAGAAGTATTTGTTCAATTATTATTTACTTTGTATTTGTCATGTACTGGTATCTCAAAACAATTATCTAAACCGTATTATAAATAAAAGTAATGTTTTATAATATATCTCTTTGTATTGTTCAATGTATCTGATAACTATGATCCAACATCCTAACGACGCACAGCCCGGCGATTCTACCGCAGCCCGGGGGTGTGACATCGTACGTATTAGCAGGGGTGAGTTTGTACGTAGCTTGATACCATGTTTGATAGTGAAAAGACATGTTAGTGTTTTTATTGTATTCTAATCTTTTATATAATACAACCAGTATAAAATATATACACAAAGTACCCGTATACTATGAGAATACATACACAATATAAATAAACAAATAAATGTTCTACAAAGATTTCATATTTGTTAATCATAAATAGTATTATAGGTTAATACATATTGGGCATGCCTGCTCGCCAGTTGAACTGCAGTTAGTTGTTCAAGTAATTGATCAGTTGACTTACACTAACTCATTTATTGTGTTAGTTTTCCCTATTTAAGTGTAATAGTTTACACAAATACTCTTGTCGGTAGAGTGGAATAGGTTAGAGGGATGGACTAACTGAAGATATCCTTTGCGGAATAAGTTGGGGTGGATGATCATGGTCAGTCCTCATATATAGGTATAGGTGAGGGATGGACTAACTGAGGATATCCTTCGCGAAATCAGTAAGTTGGGTTGGATGATCATGTTCAATCTTCATATATAGGTATAGGTGAAAGGGATGGATTAACTGAGTATATCCTTCGCGAAATCAGTTAGAGGTAAGACAATCATGACAATGGTGTGGTTAGTATTTCCTTGATCATGATGCAATGTGTGATAAATCCTCCTTAGTGTGTCTAGTATGTATTAGAATTCATATTTTATGAACATGTGCTTTATTTAGAGGTATATGATAAATATAATGGGTGAGTGTTGTGTAGACTCGCTAAGGGTTTTCGTTTACCCGTTGTTTATTAATACTTTTCAGGATTATCAAAGAATAGCCCACCTTGGCTAAAGCAACATCAGCATTACAATTTTGAAACTACTTTGAAAATATAAAGTCTTCCGTTATTTACTCTCAATGACAATGCTTTATGTAACATTGGAAGGAATGGTTTCTATGAATGATATTTTATTATCGACTTTGAATTAGGTCCAAAGACAAATATTAGTGGAATCAGGAATTACTATATAATCTTGAAGTTCCAACTTACATTCGAGATTGGTTGGTTCCTCCTTATGCAACAAAATAGAAGGTTGACTTGCAAGATAATCTTGAAGTTGCAACTTACATTCAAGATCCTTCTTTCCTTATGTTGTTGATTCTGATGTTCACCTTGAGCTCGTTGTCCATCATTCGGCCTATTAGATCTCGCCCACAAAGCATACAAATGATAATTCCCGATCCAGATTCTATTCAAATCTTCAATAACACGTTTCAATTACTTAGTCTTCAAAAATTTAACGAAAGGAAATCATGTAGTAATCTTTGATAATTTTTAGCAAATATAGACATTAGATACAACACCATGACGCTGGCATAACTTCCACAAAATCATTAACTGACATCGTTTTCTAGAAAATATGTCACGAAAACACTAACCGACAACCTATCCAGATTTCTTGTAGTTCTCATTTAAATTAGCATTCTCGTTTCTTCTGTTGTGATCAATTCATATTTGGTGTTTCCCAAGTCTCCACTACCATCCTTCATTGGTATGATTACCTCTCATTGAAAATTAATCATAAAAAACAAATTCAAGTGAAATGACATTAGACGGGCATGCATTTTTAGTGCTCCCGGTTCAAACTTTGATATGAATGTTTTAGACGTGTCATCCAAATTCAATGGGTTTTGTGATGGGTCCGCACCTAAATGTCTATCTCAAGTAAATGGAACAACGTATTATTATAGGTATTATCTTGTTGATGGTATTTACCCTGAATTTGTTGTGTTTGTGAAAACGCTAACATATCCATGCGATCCAAAACGCATAAAGTATAATACATTTCAAGAAAATGCTAAGAAGGATGTCGAACGAGCATTTGGAGTCCTCAAGAAGCGTTTGTGCATACTACAACATCAGGCATGTCCTCGAACAGTGGAAAATCTCGCTCATATTATGTACGTGTATCATTTTACATAATATGATTTTAGAAGACGAGTGCAAAATAATTTGTCAATATCAACAAATATTCAGACCGAAAAAAATTATGTTATTTGGATTAGCGGCTCTACGTTATTAAGTTAGTTAATTTAAATTTATGTTTATTAAATCAAATATAATGTTTTTAAATTTCCATGAAATGCTATGTTATTTTAATTAATATTTATTTTTTGTTTTATGTGATTTTTATATTGCAGAATTTAAAAAAAATAAAATAAAAGGAAAAAGTTGGTAGGTAAAATCATCACCATGTCTCCCTTATAGGTAAATTCTATCAAAAAGTGTAACAGCTTATGTGGGGTCTGTATGACACATATTTTTTTATAGGCAAAAACTTTACCCGTTTAGCCTAACTCTCTTATTTTTCACCTCTCTTAGATAGGTTTTACAATTTTCGACACGACCCACAACACGACACGAAATAAACGGGTTTGAGTTGAGTTTTTCAATCCGCCAACCCATTTATTAAACAGGTCATATATCGGTTTCTCAAAAAAAAATATTGGTTGACCCGCCAACCCGTTTATAATTTTAATAAAAACAAGTTTATATATTTTTTAAATGTTTTAAGACTTAAGTATTATACAGTTTATACACTAGGATAAGATGTCATTGACCATTTGACCCGTGCAACACTTTTGAGGTTTGGCTTTTATATTAAGGTTGTAGTTTGAACATCTCTCTATGAATGTTTTTAATTTTCATTTGGATGTTTAACACTTAATTGTCTAAAAAGTAGGATATATTTGAATCAAGAATTTATTCATGTTTAATTATCAATTTTATTTATGAATTTGACCCAACCCACCAACCTATGAACCCGTATAAATAAGTGGGTTGACAGGTCATATATGGGTGTTTTGACCCGCTAACCCAAACACGACACGATTGTCAGGTCTACTCTTAGAGAAATACCTAGAGGAAAAAACACACACAAGTGGAAACACTAGCAAGCAAACTCCAATTAACACAACAAAGGGGTTGGAGTGGAGTTTAAGTAATGTTTTTAATTATTGTATTGTAATTTTTTTTTCTTATTTCTGTTTTGAGATTTCAGGAATGTTATCTGAATTTATTGAACACCCACAACCAATCTATTTTATACAAAATAGAAACAAAGATATTCTCATCAAAATCTCACTTATATTACCATACAATTCTAAATAACAAAAAAAACTCGTATATTTGAAATTAATTACTTACAAGTAACTATTATGACTACTACATGCTATCATATCTTTATTACAGATCAAGCAAATGAGACCCATAAAATGTAAACACAAAATCAACAAAACAAAATTGATCTAAATTTTTATTGGAATTTATAATGTTTGAATGCATTTAGAAAAAAATAAAATGATCGTTCATCAAATTGAACTACCAATGGCAAGTGGATATTCGTGGGGCTGAAGAGCACCTTCAAGATGTTTCACAGCACTGTCGTAATTAACAAAACCCATGAACCAAAACTCGTGATTATCAATTGATATAACTTGAATGTACTTTTCAGCAGCATTTGTTTTGCTTCTAGAAGGTCGAACAGTTTTTAGTTGAAGTAATGGAATCACAACCTAATTTTTTATTACATAAAATGTAAACGTAAGATAATTAAAAAGAAAAAAAATCAAAAAGTTGAAAGCATGGCTACCATTTCATGAAATTTTCCCAAACTTTAACTTTTCGCTACCATAACAAGGTAATTTTACATGTTATAAGATCCTATTAAAAAAAAAAAAAAAAAAAAAAAAGTGGAAAGTTCCATTTTATAATAGAAAGCAATAAAATTATGGTGCTATAATACACAAATAAATGAAAGTATATTGTTATTTTTGTTAAAAGGTCAAAAACATTATAGTTGTTCAACAATACGAAAAGTTGAGTGCTTAAGGGTGCGTTTGGTTGTGGAAAACTGTTTTCACTTTTTTAGAAAACTTGTTCAGAAAGTAGAAAATTTAGATAACATTGGAAACCTGTAACAATTACTTTTCATTTTCTTAGAAAATTTATGAAAACTGAATTTTTTTCAAAATTTTCGTTTTCATTTGAAAATTTTCATGGAAAAATGGAAAATTTTCCACAATCTAAACCACTCTAAGAGTGCGTTTGGTTGTAAACAATTTTCTAGTTTTCCAAGAAAATTTTCGAACGAAAACGTGTTTGGTTGATTTAGTTTCATAAATTTTCCAAAAAAATGAAAATTTTCTGTTTTCCAAATTTTGTGTAAATTCGAAAAGTGATTTTTACATTTTTCCAAAGTTTTTCAAAATTTTAAAACAGAAAATGAAAACTCCACCGGTTTCAATCAAATGTGTTTTAAAAATTTTCATTGAAAACTAAAAATGAAAACTCAACTCTACTTTCGGAAAACGTTTCTAGAAAAATAAAAAACAATTTTCCACAACCAAACACACCCTAAACCTTTTAATAAGAAGTTTGTGTAACCAGTGGCAGATCCAGAAAGAAAATTAACAGGATTCCATCGTATATAAAAGATTAAATAAAAACAATAAAGATTAAAATTCTGAAAATTTATAACTTTTTAGCAAACAAAGGTACAAAAAGGGGGATTTTCAGCAAAAGAGATATAGTATTACCATTGGGAAATCTCCAGAAAAGTCCTAAAATTTTACCCTAATTTACGAAAAAGTCTCAAACTAAAATTTGTTTACGAAAAAGCATGAATTACCGGTAAAAATGGCGATTTGACCCATTTTTTCCGGTTTACCGATTTTATTACTTACATGTTTCACTAAAGTCCCATTATTTTACCTTAATTTGCGAATAAGTCCCAAAATAAAAATTTATTGATGATTTGACCATTTTCTTCATGTAACATATATTTTATCGGTTTCATTGCGGACTTAGACACCTAGTCATTAAATTAGTTGATTAAATGAATACGATGGGTTATATAATGTCATATTTACTGTAAAATTTGATACTCATCTCATCGGCTCATTTTATGACTATGTATCCACGTCAGCAATGAAACCAATAAAATGTGTGTTTCCAAGAAAAAAGGACAGAAAATGAGTTGATGTCTGATGAGATGGATATATTGGGTTACATAAGATTAGATAGACAATTTGATATTTCTTATAAACATAAAAAATAACGCAGTTGTTGTTAATTTATGTAATTATTGTAGTCTTCGTTGGATGCATTTTATGTTCCAAAAAGATATACAATACATAAGGATATTAAGTTTTATGCTAAACATAGCATTATATAATTCAACATATCAATCTCATCATCTCATTTAATGACTAGGCGTCCGGGGTGAGCAACGAAACCGGTAAAATGTATGTTACATAGAGAAAATGGTCAAATCATCAGTAAATTTTATTTTGGGACTTATTCGCAAATTAGGGTAAAATAATGAGACTTTAATGAAACAGGTAAGTAATAAAACCGGTAAACCGGAAAAAATGGGTCAAATCGCCATTTTTACCGGTAATTCATGCGTTTTCGTAAACAAAATTTAGTTTGGGACTTTTTCGTAAATTATGGTAAAATTTTAGGACTTTTCTGGAGATTTCCATATTACCATTTAATGACAATAGAAAAAAAAATAATAAAAAAAAAATAAAAAAAAATGGGTACCTTGTAATAGCTCCATTTCTTCTCTTCACCAACTTTATATGGAAGTGGATTATCACTACAAAAGGCGAATTTTGCAGTGGAAAGGTAGAGTACTCCAATAACCGGGCCCGCAGAAGTGGATAAGTAACATGCATATGATTTCAGAAGTCGCTCTTCAGGAATTGTTTGGAATGTTGTTCTAAAGATTTCTCATATCCTCCTTCTGCAAGAACTTTAGTTCCTTGTGCAATTCTTCCAACAGCAGCATCAGTAACACTTGGACCCGTTTTCACTGTTTCAAATTCAAGATTATCATGTCTATAAAAAATGCACTATTTGACAGATTACTATTTTAATTTGATGCATACTTATTATCAAATGGTGCCCTAATAAGTTGTGAAAGAAATCATCAGTGGATAAATGCTTCTAGGATGGATAAAATAAATAGGATAATATCCAATTAATCAAAAGGAAGAAGAAACTTACAGTGTTGCCACATATCTCCAGCATATTCTTGCCCCTTCTTTGTTGCGTCAGCAGCCTTCTTCGCCCATCTCCTAAACAGAACCCTAACCGAGTCCATTGAATCTGCCAACAAAAACGCAAGCATCTGAACATCGGAATAGGATAAGAGATTATCACAAAACATATAATCAGAAAAATTGAGAGCAAATGCCATGGATTCGTATGGAAATTTTGGAGTTTCCGTATCCCAATGGCGTTTTAGATCAACAACTGAAATGATAACAAATACGAATCACATTCGGATGCAAACTCACTCTTTGTGGAAGATTCCCGCACGGGAGCAGCGGTCACGTAAGGATTGGAAGCTTCAGGCGCAGTAATGGCGCTACCTCCGGAAATAGCGCTTGGACCTTGCGATGGCGTTGAAGCGGTGGTCTGCGACGGTTGTTCGGAAGCAGGGGGTACCTCTGGTTGTTTTTCAGGAACGATGGCGACAGATGCAAAATTATCACTGGAAGGGAGGTTTGAAGGAGGAAGGTCATCTTGCTTAGGGTTTGGAGCGTTGTCGCCGGAGTGCGAATCGTCTGGCTTCACCGGTGGTTGCGTTGGATTGGAATCGGATGATTCATTCACCGGCTGTTGCGTTGGATTGGAATTCGATGATTCATTCACCGGCTGTTGTGTTGGATTGGAATTGGATGATTCATTCGGATCCATTGCTGAGTGTGTTATTGAAAAATGAAAGAAACCTGCGAATTTTCAAATTGAGATCTCCAGAAGCTTGGATCCGATTTGAAATGAACGAAGATTCCAAGGGTTTTGATTGTGATGGGACGTTCTCGTTTACATGTTATGAATCGACACCTAGCGGTGCATGTCATCAAACCGTTACTCCAGTCCCATGAATTTTGAAAATTTTAGGTTGAGTGAATTACATTTTGGGTCCCTGGATTTATGATCAACCCACATTTTTGACGCTTTACAAAACTAATTTTCAATGTGGTTTCTTATATGACTTTTTCGTTTAGCGTTTTATTGCTACAGTTGGATAAGATATGTTAGCAAAATGGTAAAATACGGCAACCCGCCAATCCATCGCCTCACCTTGTTTAGAATTTTGATAAAAAATTATATATTAGTTTTGTCAAAAAATATATAAGTCAATCGGTTTAGAATTTTGATAAAAAATTATATATTTTTTAAATGTATTAAGTAGACAAAATTGTACGAATAGTCCCTGTGGTTAGGTGGAAATTGTCATTTTGGGCCAAAAAGGTTTGGACTGACATTCATGGTCCAAAGGTTTTCATTTTCTTTCACTTGTTCTATTTTGGTTTGAATTTTCTTAAAATGACGAATTTACCCTCTGTATTTTCATTTTTTATTTTTTTACTTAATATACCTTTTTGTAAATTAAAAAAAAAAGAAATTACCTGACCAAATTCTCACCCTTGATAACTTCCTCTCTCTCTCTCTCTCTCTCTCTCTCTCTCTCT